AATGTCACTAATATTATACTAATATTTCACAAAAGTATTCAATTTTGTTGAAGACAGTTGAAAAAATGGCCGCAGTATCAAGAGAGAACTGCCAGAAATTCAAGTCAGATTCAGAAGAGGACATGGAATGAGGGATATCATTACTGATGTCAGATGGATCTTGGCTTAAAGTAGAGAACACTGGAAGGATGTTTACCTGTAGTTTATTGACTATACAAAGGTATTCAACTGTGTGGATTATAAGAAATTATGGATAAAGTTGAAAAGAATAGAAATTCCAGAACACTTAATTGTGTTCATGCAGAACCTATAAATAGACCAAAAGGCAGTCGCTTGAAGAGAACAAGGGGATAAAGGTGGACTATATTAAGAAGAATGTGGCATCAGGATTGGAGGAAGACTCATTAACTTGTGATATGCAGATAATACCACCTTGCTTACTGAAAGTAAAGAACACTTGAAACAGTTACTGATGAAGATTAAAGACTACAGCCTTCAGTATGGATCACACCTCAACATAAAAAAAAAGAATCCTCACAATGGACCAATATCAACATGATAAGTGGAGAAAAGACTGAAGTTGTCAAGGATTTCATTTTACTTTGATCCACAATCAACACCTGGAAGCAGCAGTCAAGAAATCAAACAGCACACTGCACTGGGCAAATATGCTGAGAGGGGAGGGGGAAAAAAACTCTTTAAAGTGTTAAAAAGCAAAGACTAAGATGCACCTCATTCAGACTGTGGTATTTTCAACAGCTTAACGTGCATATGAGAGCTGGACAGTGAATAAGGAAGACCACAGAAGAATCAATCGATGCATTTGAATTGTGGTGTTGGTGAAGAATATTGAATGTACCATGGAGTGCTAGAAGAATGAACAAATCTGTCTTAGATAAATTACAGTCTGAATGCTCCTTAGGGCCAACAAGGCCCAGACTTCATCTATCATACTTTAGTCATGTTGTCAGAAGGGACCAGTCCCTGGAGTAGGATTCTGTGGGTGTTAAGATTGTGTATCAACTTGGCTGGGCCATGGGTTGGAGTGGTTGGGCAGCTGGATGTAGTTATTCCTCATGATTAGATTGTAATCACCTCCAGGGTGGAATCTGCTGTGAGCAGCTAAGACACTGTCTTCAGGGTGTGGCCTGCTTCCAGTATATAAGGAGAGGCTTTAAGAAAGATCTTCAGCTTTCTGGCATGCTTGGATCTTGCATTTGGCTGAGTTTTCATCTCAAGTGGCCTGCCATGTTGCCTACCGATTCTGGGATTGTTCCTGGACTTGAACTAGTGGTCTGCCATGATGTCTGCTAATCTTAGGACTGTGCCATTTTGCCCATCAGTCTTGGGTTCATCAGACTCAGCAGCCAGCAGCTATGTAAGTCAGAAAAAGCCTCCAGCTCTAGTGGACATGTAACAGGAGTCAGAGCTGAAGCCTAAGGTCGAGGAGCCTTCACCTAGCCCCTAGAGCTGGCACTTTGAACTTGAACTACTAGCCCCCTAAACTGTAAGAGAGTAAATCCCTGTTTGCTAAAGCCATCCACTCACGGTATGTCTGTTAAAGTAGCACTTGGGAACCAAGATAGATACCGTATGCTGGGTCAAGTAGGGGGTCAGCAAAAAAGGGGAAAAACCCTCAAGAAATGGACTGACACAGTGGCTGCAACAATGGGCTCAATCATAGCAATGATTGTGAGGATGGCCCAGGACCCTGCAGTATTTCATTCTGTTGTATGTAGGGTTATTATGAGTTGAAACCAACTTGATGCCACCTAACAAGAACATTCCAAAAACTTTCTAAGGGTCCTGTCCTATACATTCTCCTATGAGCCAAAGTGATGTTTTTAAAGTATTAATCAGATGTTTCACTCTCTCAAAACTCTTCAAGTCCTTCCTGTTGCACTTAGGTAATACTCAAATCCTCATCACAGCCGGGCCCACCTGCATCTGCCCTTCTCCTCCCACTCTACCTTCCACAGAGTGCCCTCTGGCCCCACTGGAATCTGCACACTCATCCCCACTTGGTGGCCTTTGGCATTGCCCTCTCTATCTCTGGAATGCCTGCTCTTATTACCCTTCTGAAACTCTCTAGCCTCTTACCCTATTTTCTTTAGGCACTTACCACTAAATTTATCTTATTTCTTTATATTACTTCTTTTTGTATTTATTGTCTGTCTTTCCACTATAATGTAAGGTCCATGGGGGCAGAGACTTTGTGTGTTCACTTTTATATCCACAGAATGTAGAACTGTGCCTGGCACACGTTGTTTTTGTCATGTGCCATCAAATTGATTCCAACTCATAGCAGCCCTAATAGGTCAAAGTAGAACTGTCCCATTGGGTTTTCTAGGCTGAAATCTTTACAGAAGCAGAGTGCCAGGTCTTTCTCCCCCAGGGCTGCTGATGGGCTCAAACTGCCAGTCTTTCAATTAGCAGCCAGGTGTTTAACAACTGTGCCACCAGGGCTCCTTGCCTGGCACACACCAAAACCAAACCCACTGCCATAGAGGTGATTCCAACTCATAGCAACCCTATAGGACAGAGTAGAGCTGCCCCGCTCCAAAGGGTTTCCAAGGCTGTAAATCTTTCCAGAAGCAGAGTGTCTCCTCTTTCTCTTGGGGAACACCTGCTAGGTTCGAACTGCTAACCTTTTGGTTAGCATCCAAATGCTTTAACCACTGCACTACCATAGTGAATACATAATATTTGTTGAATGAAAAGCAAATATAGTACACTCTGCCAATACTCATATGATTTTATAATCGCCCCATGCAAAAGGGCTATGGAAACTGCAAAACACATAAGCTATCGTATTATTCCTGGCTAATGAAAGCAGTCACACTAAACTTTTCTGGCCCCTGACAAAAAAGGCACTGTTCTTGTAATTCTACAAAGCATATAATCACATCCTTGTTTTTACTTTTATTGTCCTGATAGTTTAATACAATTCCTGTGAACATATTCTACATCATCCACAGTGGCCACGGACATATGAAGCACATGGTCCCTCTGGTTACTACTATGCATCCTGTATAAAACCAAGTCCATTATGGAATTGGGGTGCTGTTCTTGGATGGAACTATATAGCTGTCCACATAACATGTTTACATTGAGTTCCAAAGCTTTTGTGGTTTAAAAAAAAAATTCTGTAATGATACTAACTTCTGCGGGCCCTCATTCCATCCACCTTCAGCAAAGAGCAAAGACCAATGTACAAACTAATTCAGCCTCATAGCAACAATAGTTTATAATATCAGATATATACTTATCTATATAATTTTCTTAAATTAATGTCTGGGAAAATACACCAATAATCATTCCTTTACATTGAGAGAAAATAGAAAGTACTAGTACCCATATAAGATGTTCTAGTGGCATAATGGATAAGGCATTTGGCTGCTAACCAGAAGGTCAGCCAACCCAGCAGCAGGAAGATGGGGCAATCTACTCCCATAAAGATTTACAGCCTTGGAAACCCTATGGGGGTCACTATGAGTTGAAATTGATTTGATGGCAGTGAGTTTTGGGTTTTTTGAAGTACCTATACATCTAAACATATGACTTAGGAATGCTCACATGACAGTTAACTGTTGGCAGAGAATATCGAATGTACCATGGAGTGCTAGAAGAAAAAACACATCTGTCTTGGATGAAGTATAGCCTGAATGCTCCTTAGAAATAACAATGGGCAGACTTCATCTCACATGTTAGAAAGGACCAGTCCCTGGAGAAGGATATGATAGTGGGTAAAGTAGAGGGTCAGTGAAAAAGAGGAAGACCTTAAACAGGATGGATTCACACAGTGAATGTGATGATGGGCGTTAAGTATGGCAACGATTATGAGGATGGTGTAGGATCAGACAATGTTTCGTTTTGTTGTACATAGGTTTGCTATGAGTCAGAACTGACTTGACAACACTCAACTACCACCACATGTTGGCTTCTGAGGGTTTGTTTTTGTTTTTTTTACTTATTAAGAGTATACTCTTCTGTATATGGCAATACTGTATAATTACTTAATACATCATTTTTTTAAGTTAGTTTCTTGCAGCTTTGAGAACCCCAAGAGCTGAAAAAATATTTAGTATTATGAGAGCAGGTGATGGAAAGGGTTTAATGAGTAGTCCACAAGGGATCAAGGACAAGAAGGCCCCTCCTGTGATGACAACCCGGAAGTAGGAGGACCAAGGGGTGAAATGCATGCTCTGGGGTCTGGCAGACCTGCAGTACAACACTGGCTCTGCCATTTACAAGTTCCATGACCTTGAGCGAGTTATTTGACCCTCTATGCCTTTGTTTCCTCCTCTGTAAAATGTGAACAATAATAGTACATATCACCACATCGAGTAGCTGTAAAAATTAAAGCTATTATCACATAGTAATGACACATAGTTAGTGCTCAATAAATAACATATGGGTAACATATATTCTTCATCTGCTCAGACTCTTGGCTTCCTGCTTTTATTTCTTGATTGGGCCCCAGAGTCTGCTACAAGGTTGTCTTATACAAGAACCTATTTACTTTGTGACTGAATGATCTAATACAGCAAACAGAAGGCCTAGGTCTGCACTGTATCACAGTCATAACACTGACTAGCTGTAAAATCTTAGATCTCAACCTCGCTAGATAATTTTTTATCTCCAGAAAAGAAATCATAAGCCTTGCTCTACCTGACAGGGTTCATAAGTTAAATAAGCGAGAATATACTTTAAGGTGTAAAACATTATTCAAGTGGTAATACAGTATTACAGGCAACTTGGATTGCACAGATATGAAGTCATGAATGTTTTTAAAGTTTTCCTTGTTGCTAAGTCTTTTCCATTTTGGGGATGTATTTAAACACTGCCATGAGCATCATTCCATCTTTTTTAACATGTGATCTCTGTGAAGGAAATGCTTCATCTCTGCATCTGATGGTCAAGTACCACATGGCAAAGGCTAACTAAATGCATGGTGAGAAGAAACTGTCCTATAAACTTTGTTTCCATGTATTTACCAGGTCTCACCAACACATAACCATCTGATGGGCACAGGAGAGCAGAGACAACACACTCATACCGTCCTGTCCTCTCCACCCAGAGGAACTGTCAGCCTAAGGTACGACTCCTTGAAACTCCTCATGCCTCATCTCAAGATACTAAACGACAAACAGAAGAATGGCAAGGAAAAGAGAAACCAGAGATACAATCGTACATAAAATTTTACCAGAATCACTGAAATATTCTTTCTATTGATCTTTTTTTTTCCATACATTAACTATTAATGAATTAGTTTACAATAAGTTTTTTATTATTTTTATTGTGGTAAAATATATTTAACAAAACATTTGCTAGTTTAATCATTTTTACATGTACAATTCAGTGATATTAATTACATTCACCATGTTGTAGAACCATCACTACTACCTGTTTCCAAATTTTTCCCTTACTCTTAACAGAAACACAATACCCCTTCAGCAATAACTCCAATTCCCTCCTCAACTCAACTCCTGGTAACCACAATTAAACTTTGCTGTCTATGCATTTGCTTTATTCTAGATTTTTCATGTAAGTGGAATCATACACTAATTGTTCTTTTGTGTCACCCAGCGTAATGGTTTCACAATGTCATAGCATGTATCAAAACCTAATTTCTCTTTATGGTTGAATAATAGTCATATACATATATATACATATACACACATATATAACCTATCACACATTTTGTTTATCCATTTATCTGTTGATGGACACTTGTTTCCACCCTTAGCTATTATGAATAAAGCTGCAATGAACATTGATGTATAAGCTTGTGTTTGAATTTTCTGCTTTCAAGTCTTTTCAGTGTATACCTAGTAGGAGAATTGCTGGCTTATATGGTAATTCTATGTTTAACTTTTTAAGGAATTCCTACACTGTTTTCCACAGTAGCTACACCATTTTACATTCCTACCAGCAATGAAGGAGTGTTCCTACAGGAAGTTTTCTTGCAGAATGGGTAATAGTGTTGATTGGGCCTAGTTAAAGCCAAGTTGCACTAACTTCTGTATTAAATGAACCACCAGATACAGTTTTAATGCAGATCATGGAGAGCCTCTTTAGAAGTCCCTTCTCCCCAGTGCACTAGATATTTGAGAAGCAGGGGAATGCTTGAAAAGTACTGTTCTCTACTGGTATTTCTCTTACTTACTTGTTAAATTCAATTTTATGAACATGGCCAAATGAGCATGTCCACTGATGGACAGCAGAAGCTTAAGTGTAATGTAGTGGCCATGAAAACCTCCACCACAACCTAAAGTCTGAACTAACAGAGAGAACCTCTACTGCGTTTCCTGACTTTTTTTTCTTGTTCTTTCATGGGAGTTCAAGCTCTCAATAGAATGTCCATCAGACTCCTCCCACTGAATAAATTTTCCTTGTATGTTTTTCAGAAAACCCAGGGGAGAGGGCAAAAAGTGCCGGAAGGTGTATGGCATGGAGAATCGAGACATGTGGTGTACCTCCTGCCGCTGGAAGAAGGCCTGCCAGAGGTTCATTGACTGAGAGACACCACCCACCAGGCGGAGAAGCCCAAGCTCCACAAGCTAATCCTGCCCTCTCCTTCCACTGCAGGTTTTGCAAAGCGCTTTTCCTCCTGAACAAAATGCACTTGAAGCCCAGGAAAAGCACATCCAGGAAACTTGGTGGAATTACAGCAAAAAAAAAAAAAAAAAAGTCACCACATTCACTGCTTTGACTGAGAATCCAGCCTAGAGCTGCTGTAACCTTTACTTCCTTCAAAAGAAAAGCCAACATTTTTTGCTGTATGTCTAAGTCTTGAAACTCTGAACTTCCGTAGCAATTAGCAATTGAACAAAGCCTTTTTTTTTTTTTTTTTGCCTAGTAAAGAGGCACCTTTTGATAAGCTTTCTGAATAATGCCGTTTCTGACATCTTTTGACAGTTAAAAACAAATAAGCTACACATTATTCAGTAGCATTTGTACAAAGAACAAATGATACCTACTTTCCTTGGGAATACTTGTTACCTGTTTTCCATTTGGTTTCTTGGAGCAGTTCACATCATGATGTGTTGCAAGAACATGCAGCACTCTGGGTATCTTTTCTATGGTCTATTTCTTTTTTTCTGAAGAATGGCCCCAAACTGAATGACAGAGCTGTTAGCTTGGAGGGCGCGGAGTGGCATAAATTCAAAGAGAGATTAGTGATGGAAATCACCAGCAGACTCCAGCCTCAAGCTGAGTTCAGAAATTCAACTGTCACTGTTGGGAAACATCTCGGAGTTTTCCTTGGATTTATAAGAAGTACTTCATCAAGAGCCAACATGGCGGACTACCTGCCTGCCACCACTCACTCATGCACTGGCACAAGTAGCCGTCTGGGTAAGCCTCAATGCTTCTTTCAGGGATGTGATGCAAACCAACAGCTCGGATCTGTTTGTCACTACTTATCTGTCAAGTTGTTGCCAGGTTATGGGTCCTTTCTTCAAAACCCAACCACTGACTAATTTCAGAAGGGGTCTAGAACTCCAAATTGTCCCAGCTGGTTTGCTTTAAACAGCAGAGCACAGCCTCCATCCATGTCCCCAAATGTTCAGAAAAACTGTCAACAAACCAACTTCAATTCTGAGTGCACTTTTATAGGTTTTATGCTTTAGCATGTCTGGGAGATGAGTTGGTGAACAATATAAACACTATATGGATAAAGGGTCAGTCCCAACCTTTATTTTCTTATAAAATATTGGAGCTATTTATTGAGACTTAGCTCAGAAGGGAACATAAAGAAAACCAAAAGGAAAACGCTTGCTGGTGTAGGAATCTCTCTATTTAGTAAGGCCAGGGCTTGCTTTGGGTTCCATTGATCAGGCTTTCTAGCCTAGTGTGTTTGTTTGATTGATTGGGCAGTTGGCTAGTTGGTTGGTTGGTTTTCAGAGATAGTGTGGAGGGGATAGGGCAAGAGTAGCCAAGCCCTACAGATAAGCTCGTTCTCTATTCTACTCTCAATTACCCTGCTAAAGAGATATTCCTCCTATACCTATGCAAAGCAGTAAGAGCACCTTATAGGATGCACTGTGTAGGGACTGGGGACATAGGATCAGCCATAGGTATGTTAAATGAACTTGCACAGAGGAAAGTTGTATATTTGGAGATTGCACATACACATTTTTTTTTAAGAGTGGAAAGATGTCACCTAATAATAACAGAGAACCTTTTTTTAATATGTGAGGTTCTATAGTGCAACATCCATTTTGTGTGTTCATATCTTGTGGCAATTTTCTTTTCTAAGCTCTCATATGACTCTTTTTTATTATCCCTTGTAAAAGTTCCTATTTTCTTTCTCCATTTATTTTTATAAAACACTTATTTCTAGAGAACAGAAAAAATAGCTTCTTCTCATTTCACATCATGATTACAAATCAGTGAGGGCCACAGAACCAAATATCAATGTATATTTTCGTACTCACGGGGTCAGCCAGGAAGGGACATTTTTAAAAAATGTAGAAATGTATTTGCTTCTTCTACCCCAGCATGTCCTTTCTCCTCTCCTGGTGTCCTGTCATCTCACTGCAGTCACCCACTGCTGTGACATGATGCTACTGGCCTAGTCCTGGAGGCCCTGAGCTGTGGGTGGAATGCCTAGTGGCCACCTGTTTGAGCTAGTTCACCATGTACATAAATGATGGGCAGGGTGCAATCTTGGAGCAGAGGTTTTTCTCTTCAGCAAAATTCCCTGGCCCTTGATCCTTGGATTAAGTCACTAATCAAAAGAGTTCAAAGTGATGAGAGGCTAAATCCATCCCCCCTTCCCAGAACTCTGGAACACAGGAAGGAGATCTTTGGTGTGGAGCAGTCCCCAGAGCAGGGCTCCATGGCTCTCATTCCCAGGATGCAGCCCATCAGTTGTTCTGCGCTTGGACCTGGCTGAGTTCAGCCCTTGCCTAGCTTCCAGCACATGTATAGGTATAAGTAGAAACATAAAGCTGAATGCAGGTTGGCTGTGATTTATTCCCTCTAAAGCTTTTTCGTGCATACTCTTCTGTGTCTCCCACTTGGACACAGCTCCTTTTTGCTGGCCAGCCAGGCAGGTGTGACTGCTCAGCCTGGAGCTCTGATACTCTCTTCTCTGGCTCCAAGATGCAGACAGAGGCTGATTGCCAGTACCTTCCTGGACACACAGACACTCATTTCTTGTAGCAAGGCATGTAGTAACTAGGGGACCACCAAGCCTGACCTGGCTGACCTTGAAGAAAAGAATCAAACCTTCAAGCCAACCAGACAGCAATGAATTGCAATATACAGCCACTGATTGTAAAAATATATTAAAAAAAAAAAAGTTATTTTGCTATATCTGGGAACTAGATGACGTGCCAAATTAAGCCAGACATCCATTTTATGCCATCTTTGTGGACCAAGTCCTTCTTATATCTTCATTTGGCAGGGGGGAAAGAAAGGGAAAGGTGGGAAGGAAAGTCCCTCTGCAAACTGACTACATAACCGGACCCCCTTGATCACAATGATCTCAGAGGCCTGTTTGTACAGACGAAGTGGTAATACAATGGATTCTGATCCCAAAGGATTTCTAAATAAGGCATGTTGTAGCTTTCTGGTTTTAGGGGGAGTGGGGGCACGTATTTTTTTATTTTTCTCCCTCATTGGACTTTCCCTCAGAAAAGATTCCTCATCTCTCTCCAAAGAAGGAATTTTATAGTAACAGGGCATTCTCCAGATAGCTGCAAAGCAAAGGGTGTTCACCAGGCAGTGATTTTTAGCCTCAGTCCTTCCCAGAGGACATTGCACCCAGTTGACTGGAGGCAGTGTGACAACTTGGAGAAAACACCCAGATAGCAAGCTGATCGGGGGCCAGAGAGAAGATACAACAGGCTCGTGGGCACTTGGCTTCAGCCTATCTCCTTGGTGCCGACCACTCACCTGCATGAAAGCAGCCAGTTTCCTGGGCACCTCTGAGGACGCTGCCACATTCTCCCTCTGGAAGCAGCTGCCAGAAGCAAGGAGAGAGCTACCTTAAGGGAAGCAGCTGTGGCCAGGGTGCAGGTCTACTGTGCACATCTCTAGTGGACATGGACTCCTGCTTTTCACCTCTCATGCTGGAAACTTTCCTCCCTTGGTTGGCAACAGCCAGTGTGAAGAAGAGGGTGGTGGGCTTGTGACCAGGACTGTGAGTGCTCAGCTGTGAAGTGCCTGCCAGCAGCTCCAAGGACCAACAGGGTGCCCTTTATAAGAGAATCCATTGCCCCATTTTAACCATGTTGCAGATGACAAATTTCAATAGAGAATGATGCATGTTAAAGTTCTTAGGCTTTCCAAAAAGTTTTCAGAGAAATAGTCACATGTATGATGCAAAAGATTTCTGAAATTGCAATGTCCTCCATCAAATGTCAGGATCATTAGAGTTTAAGTCTGTTCTCTTTGGTGTCACACTACGCCACACTTTTGAAAGCAGCCAGTGGTTCTGAGTTAGTCAGCATGGCTGAATTCATTTCCCCCTTTGTCAGACGTCATTGCATATGGAAAGTGCAGCAGCACTCACTTGATAAGAAAAGGGACAGAATTGTTTATATAGTAGAGAATGCCTTGAGAATAGTAGCAAAATACTGTAAATAATATTCATTTCCTCAGGGAAAATTAAAGGGTATGTGAAAAATAGGTCCGGAGGATCCTAAGACTAGGATGAATTTTATTGTCTTTGGAGTCTTTTCTAGTCAACATTTTCTTAAATGAACCTAATATAATTTCAAGACAAACTTACATGAACCTAACAGCATCAACTTTTCTGAGGCATGGGGTTGCCCTATGAAAAAGAGCTATTTCTTTATAGCTGATCTGAGGTCAAAGGCTGATATTTGAGCCACAGGCATAATCCCTGGTGGGTATTCATAGACTAATGTAAGGCTTTTTTTTTCTCCTTCTTTTTAAAACATAATTGTGAACATGAAGCCTTGCCGTTCCTTTCCACAATCACCCAGTTCAATGATGGTTTATTAGCTATAAGCAGAGTTCTGTAAATGAAAGCTGTTAAAGATGTGTACTTTGCTTCCATAGCATGTTAGGGAGCAAACTTCCATGGACTCTTGTGGACAAGTTGCTGCTTATTCTCATGACCATGTAGAATTTCCATTGACCATGTCTACTGTAGCGTTGACCTGCGTGAAGGCAGGGGAGAATCTGTACACACACGAGTGGAAGCTGCAGGATTCATGAATAGAGATGAGAGTGCAGATCACTTTGGAGACATGAGTCAACTGGAAGTTTCATTTCTCTAAGAAAATAACTACCAGCAGCACACATTCTCCCAAATTACTCATACCTGTAGGGGTTTCTCCATGTAGGAATTGTTTCATTGCATCTTTTTGCATTGTAACTAGTCAAAGCATAGCTCAGTAAATAAAATGAGATTCGCACTTTTAGGTACCAATTGCATCACTAAGTGATGCACACCAATAGACAAGAAATTATGAAATATCTTCAAGACTGATGGGTTTGCTTACTGTGACTTTGGAAAAGCCCATATCCAAGGATCTATACAT